CGTCATGCTTCATTGTTGGGAAGTTGCTTGAGGTCATACCATGTCAACATTTGACTATGCAAACTTTGTCAACCATTGGCAGCTGAGTACTTGTAATAAATGATATATGAATGCAAGTTCTGCTTTTGGGACTTTGACTAGAAAGTTGCATTATAACGAATTACGAGTCCCTACATGCATTCTAATATCAAGGTTTTAATTCTTACAGGAAGAGATCCTCAAAGGAGGCAGGGAGTTTGTGTTTTTAAGTCTGAAAACAAAGGCTTGCAGCAGGATTGCCTGAAGCAGGACCATCCCCTCTGTCTACAGCTCAACCTCTTTACAGACGGGCCACTGAAACCAAGCATCTGGAACCCTCCACCCTCCTTCCAGTTTCTTGTCACTTGAGTTGCTATTTAAATATCTCCAAGCAGATGTAATCTGATATGTCTGCCGTTCTTATGTTGACTTTCTCATTACTGCACAGACATACATTACTATACTATACTAGTAATTACTATACAAAGGGTTTGAAATACCCCTGGTAAATACCCAGGAAGAAGAAGCTTTTATAACATTCCAACAAAGATTAGTGCATCATTGTTATTTGGCAATATGTTTTTCTCATACATATACACCTAAGTAGTATGTTAGAGAGATCAAAGCTTAGTTTATGATGTAATACAGATAAACCCAAGTCAAATTATGGATCTGGGGTTAAAAGAAAAGTTAAATTGGATCATGTTTCAAAAAAAGCTGCTTAATGTTCTGCAAAGACCGTTTATCCACTAGATAAAATTGGATGAAACATCTTCAGTAAATATGTTGAAAAAACTTTAAAAAAATAACATTTTGTTCTTATTACTATTCATAACCCTACAAATTATTGACACAGATGTGCTTTTGTTATTTATCTTTTTCAGCTTTAGTTTAACAGCTAAATCTCATTGAGATTAACCTTTTTTATATAGAAAGCAACATGTTAAAACCTTCTATAATCTGGTATGATTAAAAAAACCTCTTCAGTGAGAAAATAGAAAATAAAATATAATAAAAGATGGTAGAAAATAAAAAAAGAACATAACTAGCCAACGCTTTTTCCCTTTACTTTAAAATAAGTTTTACATGTTTCAGTCCAGAAGTGCTGCACAGCTGCTGGTTCTATTGTAGTTTCTGTCTTGCAAGAGAAAAATAATGAGAAGATGTCTTTTCCTCATCTGAGAGTTTGATCAAACCAAGGTAGACTGTAATTGTTGCGCATGCATTCAGGCTCCTTTTGACAATTCTTTGAGAGTCCAGCCTTTGATAAGATTACGGCCTCATGTCCTTTGAGTTCTCCGCCAGCTTTTTCACCCAAAGATTCTTCTAAGGAAAATACATAAAACTCAACCTCAGTCAGATTGAGAAAGAAGCATCTGAAAATATCAGTTTCAAAAACGTGTTCTAAACTATCTGGCTTTCTTCCAGGATTTCCCTGTTTTTAATTATATCAATCCTACTATCAACTCTGAGCTGCTTCACTGTCTTTTATTCAGACAGCACATTTCAGTAGCAAGATAATTCAAAGAGCTGACCATAACAAACAGAGGAAAACACAGAAAACAGTACATTGTAGTGGCATGGAGATGATTGAATAATTAATTGATAGAAATAAGTAAAGAGCATAAATATGAAATATTGAAATGATAAGACAATTCTAGGTAAAAATGTAAGTTGAAATACAAACTTGAAGATGAAATACAAACTTAAAGTAATAATGTTTATGATGCACATTAGTAATTTAAACCTGTAAATGTTCCTTAGATGATAGAAGGCCAATTTTGTTACTGTATTTATGTGCCTACGAAGGTTCACACCTGAGTCCATCATGACACCTCGATTTCAAACCTGATTGGTGTTTTTTTAGTTGTATTAACTTAAGCTGTGTGCTAACTTTTAAAAAATGTTCTGTGTTGTTTTGATTCAGCTGAAGAACATTTTTACACATTCATCAATTGCTTTCTATATGCCTTTACCCAGAGTTTAATTGGCTTCATTCTAAAGATGCATTTATATAAATACCTATGTAAACACATCTGTGCAATAACCTTGTATAGTGATCCTACTATAAAAAAAAAAAAGCTGTCATATGTGGAAGTACTGTATATACTGTATATATCCCATGCAATTTTTTTCCTCCTTTAGTGTCTTATTTTCCTTTGACTATTTGAGCCGATGTAACGACTGAATTTCTCCACTGTGAGATCAACAAAGTCAATTAATCAATCAATAGTAACCTGGTGACATTGTTCTGTAAGGCTGTGTGTTGTCTACATAAATAAAATTATTTATTTATTAGGATCTGAGTTAGGGGGAGCAAGTCGATTTTGAATAAGAGGGGCACTTAAATGAATCCTTGGAGAATGCCACATGTGATTATTGTGGTTTCTGCAGACTTAAGAAAGACATTGTCTTCCAAGTGGGATTTAAGCCAGTCTGGTGCTGTACAAGTCTAAAGTAAACCATCCACTCAGCATGATGCTGCCACCATCATGACGTGCTTGTTCTGCATTTTCAGTAGTGGTGATTTTCCAACCCACAGATGGTGTTTTCCTTGCAGACCTAAAGGCTCCTTAAGTGGTTTGTTGCAAGCTATCGGTTGCAAGATACAGTCATATAAAATATGTTTAAGAGACTTCAAAGAGTGTGGTGTGAAAAGACAACAACCACCTACAGCAGATGAGAAATTCTTAATGTGACACAACATCCTAGCTAACCCCCAAACCATTGGGAGGTTTAGAGAATTGGCATTCGAATACGATCTGTGAAAAAAAAAAAAAAAAAAAAAAAAAAAAAAAATATATAAATATATATATATATATATATATATATATATATATATATATATATATACACACATTTTTATTACTGTTCTGGTTTTAAATGTAATCATTCTTTACCTAATCATTAAAAATTCCTTATCACGAGGATTCCCCACTGTACTCTGTTGTGTTGTAAAGCTCAATGGTTTCATTTAGTGTAAAGTGTGAGATGAAGGCAGTAAGGCTAGCATTGTATCAGAGCATAATGTCTCATGTGTAACAGTGTGTCTCGTCACTGAGTGGGCAAAGCATAGAAACACAGTAAGTGTTGACTGGTCTATGGAGGCGAAGTAAAGATGAAGCAGATTAGAGGCTGAATGATGACTTTGTTAGAAGTCTGGGCATGAATACATCTCAGGAATTAATCATTTCACTTATCAATGGTGAAGGAAACAACTGGCTCTGATCCAATCCTAACTTTTTATAATTATGGGGTAAAATATGGCCCATTGGTTTATTTCTACGCCATTAGTCAGCAGGCTGGATGAAGACCCATATTTACCTTTCCTCCACTGAAAATCTGTCTGATGACTGATCTCAAAGGTTCTCAGTTAGAGAGCCTTATAGTTGTTCCTTTCCTGGGATGTCTTATTTGATTTGGAACAAACATTTCTCATATGTTCTGGTTTCCAAATAATTGAATTATAGTTGAAAGAAAAAATGAGTCCTGCTCTTTTTCCTAGTTTCTTTAAAGCTGCAATCTCATTCTGAAGGCCTTAAACAGCTCTTAATATGTCACCATGGCTTTAACTCTTACTTCAACAATCAGAAGCACCCCATCCTGAATGTCTGAGGTTTAAACAGGGAAAACCTCTTTCGAAATGCTTAGTAATGATGCTCTAATTATGTACAGGTGATATATGGCTCCTTAATTTAACCACTTTGAATGGCAATAAATACTAATGAGTAATACAAAATTTACTTTTGACAAAAAGTAAAAAAATAAGCATTTTATCCACCATAATCTTGTTATATTCAATTTTCCAGAATCAATGAAATGAATATTAAAGGTATAGTGGAGGATGTTCTTTTTCCGGGTGGATCATCAAGATAAGTGGTCCTCATAATTGTCAATCATTCTGGTGATATGTTTACATAAGGCCGTACTTAATCCTCGTCCCAAATTTTTCACTTACCGGTGGAGAGTCTGACATAGTTGAAAAATAGCAAATCCTCTTTTGGTAAGTAAGCTTGTATGTGTGATGCAAGCATCAACTTTTCAATTGGGCAGTTAGTACATTATAAAATGGGCTCTGCATGCTCTTGCACGCGTTTAATAGGTGTTCCCTCTTGGAAGGGGGTACAGCGTTGTGCATGTGCATTTTCTTTTTAAAGTAGAGAGGGCGAGTGTTTTCGACAAGGCAAAAAACACTTTTAGAATTGAATTCTTGATTTCTCCTTTAGTCTTAGTTCTTTCAGAAGAAAACAGAAGACTCAGGTGGAGGCCAAGATCCATTACCTGATACACAGACAAGTTTTTGAGAGTGAAAGGTCAGCTGTCTAATGAGGTAGTCAGAAGCACAGAAACACCACAGGGAACGGTTCTCTCACCATTACTTTTTAACTCTGTGCACCTCAGACTTCCAGTAAAAGACAGATTCCAGTAAAAGACAGAGTCCTTTCATCTCAAAAAATACTTGGATGACTCAGCAGCTGTTAGTGGCAGAGATGCAGTCCAAGATAGAGCACCACAGAAGATCCTTTCTGGCTACAGCTATCAACATCTACAATAACTTGTTAAAATTAACCCAGTTTCTACAAATTTTTATTTCCCTTTGGGGTCAATGAAGCATTTCTGAATTGAATTAAATGAAAAAATGTTTTATAAAACATAAGGTCGAAAAAATTGTTCACCAGACAGAAGAATAAATGAATAAATGCTGTCCAAATCACAAAAGGTTTATCTACTAACAATCACAGATTGTTCTTTATGTTTAGGTACTGTGATTTCCCTTTATTTTTACAGTGTGAGAATAGACTAATGGAAGTAAATTCTTATTTCAATGTTACGGATTTATACACATCTTCACTAGAGAGGCATTATAAACGCTTAGATACTACAGAAATAGCAAGATTTGATTTAACTTCACATTAAAATCCTAATTTTCATGAACATTACAGTCATTTTGATGAAATTATTCAAGAGATAGGAAACACATCTCAAAAATCAACACAAATGTGGGTTTATTTCACTGTGGCACAATAATAAAAATGTTTCATCATTCAGTGTCAGATAAACCAAGACTACAAGTTGTTATAAAGAAATAAAAAAATAAATGTCTGTGGTGTCATTTCATCACTGTTACAAAGAACACACGTTGTCTTGTGAGGTGAGTGACTTGAGCACTTTTCATGGTCAAGACAGGTAACAAAAAACATTTAAACAGTCAAAGCTCAGAGTATTACGTAATATTTATCACTCTTAGCATGTAGCTGCAATATGCAACACGTTAACTGTTCAGAACCCTATAGTGGAGATCAAGTTAAATGACACATTTAATTAGAAACAAAATAAGTTAATAGCGTTGAACCAGTGGTACGCATCAGTCAGTGATGGCTGTGGTCTGCAAAAACCCAAAGACAACTTATTGCACCTTTTGACACCTCAATGACAAGTTGCAAACAAAACTAACTACTAATCTAGTTTACATCAACAGCAGAAATAATAAAATTAAACCATAGTTCAAATATATGGAATGTATAAAATATAACAAAATGGTACACGAAGAAGAAAACAAAGAACAGAGTTGAATTCATTTAAGACAGAAAAAAAATAGCTTTCCAGTAAATTGGAATAAACACCAACTGAAGCAGGTTGTTTCAGCTACTGAATGTTTCAGGAGCTTCAACTTGCAGAAATCCATGTAAAGCTGTGTCTACAACAAACTGTGTATTTACCTTTAAAGCCAAAACATTAAATATTCAGATAGTTTGATTCTTTGTTTTTTTCCCTAACTTTTAGAGCCTCCAAAACAAGCAATCAGCAATCCTCCAAAGTAAACTGAAATAGTTCAATTAGCATCCAGATTTGCTGGATTTTAATTGAAATGTTTACTTTTCCACCCATATTAGTAGAAGACATAATAAATTAAGATATGTAAAGAGTTTCTAGGAAGTTATCAGCAACCATTCCCTTAGTAAGAGAAGGGATTTTGACTTTTTGATCAGAAAACAAAATGCAATGTGGTTCTATCTGCTGCCTTTTCACCCTGAATAAGTGTTTATGGAAACAAACGGGTCTGATTGCTTCACCTTGTGCCAAATAAATGTTACTTTATGTTTTTAATGAATGTTTAACCATTTGTATTATACACACACCTGAATTGATTTATTAGTTTAGTGTTTATCAAGTCACTTCCGCTTCTTATGAAGGAAGAGCTCATGTTGATTTGCTAAATCATAGTGCTGTTACTTAAAAAAAGACACTGGTGAAAAGCTAGCAGCTAGTAAGACGGACGCCGATTTAGCTAATTCAGGTCATTTCAACAACACATATCTTCACAATCTGTGGGGGAAACAATGTTCAGTAGGAAATTCAGGAAGCCTCACTTCAAGAAAAGTCAAATTTAACATTAATTGTCAACAATATGTCAACATTTTACAGTTATTTCAATTTGCCTATGAAGTTGGTACCGTTTCCTCAGGGTTTGTACAGTAACAGAAAAGGCTAGCTGTCATTAGCACAACAGAATCAAAAATTGAACATTCCTGTCTTTTTAAACTTTAAAAGTTGTTTTGAAATTATCTATAACTATCTTTTAATTCATATTTCTACAGGTACCGGTAATTATTATTTAGGTTCAATTTCCAGTATATTATATTTCATGATTCTTTGAGAAAATAATTCACAACTGAAGTCCTAATTTAGACCAAATAGAGCCCTAAAACACGTGAAGTTCCAGCGTGGTGACCGGTGGTCAACCTTTGAGATCAACTCTGGGAAGCTAGGAATGTGTTTACGCTTCAACAGGAAGTGGAAGATGGAGGATTGCAGCTTTACAAATTTGGGAAGCAATTACAGATGACTGCCTGCAGATGTTTAAATGTGAAACCAGACGCTACAAAACTTTTTCCTTTCCCTTTATGCAGCTAACGCATTTAGTGAGTCAGAAACAAGTAATATAATCCAGTGATAAAGGGGTGGGGGGGTAGATGCTACAGTAGCACCCACTTTAAAGCCCAAAAAGGAGAGACGATTAAAAAAAGGCAGCTTCAGCCTTAAAACCTGAGCCTGAACATACAGAAAAAGAAAACTACACTCGTTTATTAAATGTTGGATTTCTACGTTGGTTTTAAAAAGCTAAACTACACCAAACAAAACAAGAGAATAAAAAAAGTCATAAATAAAAGCTATAACAATGTTTCAATGGCATCATATTCAAGTAATCTTGATAAAGTCCCTGATAGTGGTTCATGTAAACATCATAAACACAGACAGAACCAACAGTTCTTAAGAAGGCAGCAGCATTTCATATGTACAATACAACAAACCTCCACATAATCATCATCATCGCCAGGCTGGTCCAGTCACATCAATTTGTGTTAAAGAAATGAAAACTTCGGTATGAGGAAAGCTTGCAGGAGAGCCACATTTAAACCTGCATGTGTGAAGGCTCAACTTTGGGAGAATGAGAGAATGAGAAAGAGTGAAAACAGCAGGGCTTTTCGAGCCAATCCATGTCACCTGCTGTGCACAGAACAACAAGTTCTTGGTCTCCTCTGAGGTCTTATGTTGGTGGGAAGTATGAGAGAAGCCTTTCAGCTCTTTACATCAAATGTTAGCTGATTTATGAGAGAGGAATAAAAATATCTTCAAAGGCATTTACAACCATTTTATGCCTCCATTTACTTCGGGATATCTTTAGTCAAATGTCAGCTTACATAAAAATATAATTAGCCAGATTTCTTATAAAATGTTACATTTTTGGGATTAGAAGAAAAATAAAAACATTGAGCAGCAAGACGCATTCACCACAGATACGTTGTGTTCTGTGCACTTCTAAAATTGGCTCTGCTATCATGCACAACTGAGAGCAGACACTGAATGAGGTGGGTGTTTGATCACACTGCTGCTTTCATCTCATTCACAGTGATGACAGTCTTATAATAACACACATGTATAAAGCCAGTTCAGAATATGGTGGAAAGATTTCTGCAGCACCTCAGGGTTCCACTCGAGGCAGCGGAGCGTTCGTCATGTCAGCGTGATGACTTCCACTGGGTCTGTCTTGCCTTTGGCCCTCTGCTTACGTTTTAGGCGTCTGTGGGAGAGCGGCGGGGAAGCTGGGGTGGCTGGAGGTGTTGCTGTGCTGACGGAGAGGGAGAGGAGGTCTGTAAATGGATATTTCGGGGTGGGAAAGTGGGACGGAAGCATTCTGGGGGACTCCCGTATGGGTTTGTGCTCCCTCTCCGTCTCCTGGCGTCACCTGTCAAAGCAGCCGGCTGTGAACGTGTGATGAGCCCCGAGGTAGCCCCCGCTGTAAGCCATGCTCAGACAGTGCCGTGGCTCTGCAGCGAGGGCCATCTGCACAGATATGGGGCTCTGAAGAGGCAGAGCACGGGCCCCAGGCTGAAGACCAGCGGTTAGGCTTGGGTAGGAGGGGAAAGCTCCCCCAGCAGTGATGGATGGGGGCCCAGCTAGGAGCCCCATCCTGTGGCTCTGAAGGAAGTCCTGAGACATGTTTACCACTGAGCCCAAAGCCTGAGAGTCAGCTAGTGCTTGGAGCTGGGACAGAGATGGGGAATGCTGAGAGAGGTGCGAGAAGCTGTCTGGCTGGAAAAGCAACTGTGGCGTGGAGGAGGTGGAGGAGGAAGACGAAGACGAGGCGGGTCTCTGGATGGCAGATATTGGAGAGAGGTGAGAAGTCGGAGGTTGTGACTGCAGAGAGGAAGGCCGGTGGGGAGGGGTGGATTTGGTTTTATTGGCCTCCTTCACATCGTTGTCATGGGCCCTGTCATTAGCACAAGAAACAGGGAAAAATTTGTCAGTGACGCTGTTTCCATGAAGAAAGTCATTTTGTCATTTTATAGAGCAGTATACTAACAAACACACAGCAGCGTATGATTGTGTATAAGAGGCAAAATGATCAAAGATATTTATTTTCCAAATGGAAAACTGAAAACTGGCATTACATTTAATATAATGCACCAAACAGCCATCAGACCACATCGAATAGGAGAATATTGTGTTTTATATAAAAATATCTGACAAAGCAACATCTAATTCAGCATCTAATAATGCAAAGAGCAGCTTGGGCAGACCTGTTGTAGTACCAAGATATTTTCTATCCACCTAAACTGATGGGCCAGCCAGAAACTGCAGCCAAGAGGCCCACTGTGCAATGCATTTGAAAGAGCAAAAATTTTCAAGGGAGGAGGAAAACTATTGTTGAAAGAAACCAAGAGAAAATCCAGGACTTGTTGTTTCTCCAGGATTAACAGTAAAGAGATGATATGAAGATGAATTGAACTAAAATCATAACAATCTTGGAAAATACTTGACATTATGGCAAATTTCCCCTTCAACAGGACTATGGTCCTAAATATTCAGCCAGAGCTACATAATAAGGGTTTAAATTTAAAGCATTAGAACACGCTGAAATGACCTGAAATCAAAATTGAATCCATGAAAACATCGGTCAACAAACAATCTTAGTCGAGTTATCATGCCATAAAGAAATGAAACTGACAGAAATAAAAACAAAAAAACTAAACAACAATTAAATAAATACAGGGTTACATGGATCTGGTTTAAGCGTACGTCTGTCTTATGGTCAAAAGTCAATGTATCGGCCTTATTTAACCCATTTAGGCCGGGAAAGCATTACCGCATTTCTACCATTCAAGCCGGGGGTGCTGTTGCGTCATTCTACCATTGACGCCGGGAGAGCATATAAGTCAAGCAAGAAGAAAGAAGTTTTTTTCAAGCAAACATGGAGGAGTTTGACAGAGAAGAGTTGTCGGAAGGCAGTGATTTTGAGGAGTGTGTCGGCTTTGATGACGGTATAGATGAAAATGATGACTTTGAACGCGCTGAACCAATCGAACTACCACCGCAATGCACGGAGTGTTTTCAACCGCACACCTGGAGTGAAAGTTGATTTGCCTGCAGACGCCACACCGCTGCAGGCATTTGAGCATATTTTTAATGAAGAACTTTGGATGCATCTAGTTACCGAGACGAATAGGTACAGTGACCAAACAAACCAAACTCCAACAAGAGCAAAGATGGCAAAGTGGTCACCCGTGACTGTGACGGAGATGAAGACATTTATTGGGCTGTGTATGTAAACCTCTCTTCAGGACGCAGTTCCCCCAAAATATGTCCCGGGACAGATTTGTGGCCATCTGGAGGTAGGTTGTATGCAATTTATAACACAGACATATGCATTATTATGCATAATAATACTGTTAATAAGTAATCATCAGATAGTTATTTATGTAATGTTTGTTCTTTATTTTGAAAACGTTTTATATTGCACATTCTCAATGAAGACATGATCACATATGGAAAAAATAAAAGGTTGAATTTTTTTTTTTTTGATTACTGCTTTTCACATTTTTTTTTTGGAAGAATTTCAAAGATAAAATATATTTTGAGTTCTATCTGCTACAGAAGCTGAGATATCAATAATTTAGGCGTTGACACAGTTGCTGAATTTACAGAAAAACTTCAGGTTTTAGGGGTATTTTTTAAAATCGGCCATAGGTTTTTAAGGTGTTTTTTCCAGGCGTTTTAGGCCTAAATGGGTTAAGTATAATTTTTAAAATGTCAGTGTAACCAGGGTTTGTGGTAAAACGTGCTGGACAGAGCACAGGGGAGGGGGTCAGAAGTCAGTCAAAGGGCTGATATGCTCATAAAATTAGTTTAGCAGCCTTAATTCCAGCGTAGCAGGGACAGTTTTAAAAATAGAGGACTACTAAGCTGAAATACGCTGGGGAGAACGCCACACCACTCAGCATTTAATTTTTTTCTTGATTATTTCCCTTATAGAGAACATTACTCCAAACCCCTCTTTTGTCTTTGATTTGTCAATAAAGAGGTTTGCTGGTTTTTTTGGCCATCCCTGAAAGGTCACACTGACAACCTTTACTGCCAGGATATGGGCCCCATTGACAATTTTAAGTACTCTTTTTGCCTGCTTACATGAGAACAAATAAACGTCAGCTGCAGTTAACCCTAAAAATATAAACCATAATGACTAACTTTCAAGTAGCAATAAAGATTTTGATATGTAAAGCAAGAGATTAATTGATTACTGAGCCATAATGTAGAAATGTGGATCTAATAATTAAACAAAATTATGTATTATTTAATTAGGATAAATTTGTTTGCATGCATCATAAGTACAGCTGAAATGTTTACACTTACAAATAGAAATATTGCAGCTTTTTAATGTACTAAATTCATGGCACTTTTGGCTTTTCCATACCTGCTCCAGTCGCAACTAACCCTAATTATATATTGAGCACAAAAATGTGAATGTTAAAACGTCTCTTAAGCAGTTGGGGTTCTACAGCAGGATCTTTTCATTCCGCTAGCATTCAGCCCAGATCCTGTGGGTAAAGCTGTGAACGCCCCTGGTAGTTCACAGCAGTTCACATCAGTCTAGAGCAAATTGGAAACAGTGCAGCCCTTTAACAACACCTATTGAATCACTCCTAATTATAACTTCATCTGGCAAAAATACCCAACAGGTCCATGACAGAAACTGCTGAGTTTCTTAGTCATTACAGCACTAACAAACCCTGATGACAGCCTGCACAGAGAGAGGGCTGTTTGCAGGTGAGAACGGGAAACTTTTTCTACATGAAAGTGATTGAGCCGCTGCTGAGGGAGAAATTCAAGCCCAGGATTTTCCTGTCTCTACCTGCAGCACAGCCTCATTTCTTTTATCCACGTCAATAATAAACTTTAAAGAAGCTGTTGGTGGCCAAACCAATTTGAGGGAATAGGAGGTGAGGGGACTTCCCCAGGCTTTAATGGAAAATAGTAACAATAGCAATTTTATGTAACTTATTATAATATATAATATTTTTGCCCTCATCAACTCATCAGCAGGCGGTATCCTCAAAAATTTATGCATTCTTTATAACTGCCAGCGCCATTATGGTCAGGTGAAGCTGACCTTAGTTTTAATGAAAAGGAGAATCTTTAGAAAATATAGTTTGTCTTAATCGATTATGTCAAGGTATTGGTTATTTTGGCAACCTCAGATCTAACATGAACTAATCTTGAGCAATTTTTCAAAGAAAGTTTATCAGACATTTGTTTCAAATATCAGCTTTACATAAACTCAAATGGATGAGTACTAGTTTAAAACAATTTTGGCAACTTACAATCTTGCTGAACTTAAAATATCTGACTCTCTCCTCCATATAGACAGTCTTTGTTATAGAAAATAGACCAAGAAATAATGCAGCTATGGTCATGGAAAGGCTAACTTTAAAACAATTAACAAGAGAAAATGTAAAACATTATGAAAACAAACTGTATCTGTCTCTATATGCTGTTACATCATCATATGTGGATCTTACTGGTTAATTTATAAGTGTAGCAGCAGTTTGCAGCCACTAAAACAAAATTAACTAAGCTGGTGGAAAAAAAAGGAATCTCAGAACCAAGCCGCATCCGACCGACCTGCGTGACATCAAGGCCCGACCTGGCCTGAAAATCTATATTCTAGTCTTTAAGCCCTACCTACTGATTTTCTTTTACTTGTGTGTGTTTGTGCATCTCTTACAGCAGCATTAGCTCGATGCATGGGGTCAGGTGGTCCCAGGAGTACCCTGTTAGTAGATGAAGAGCAGTTGTCCAGCTAGGGGAAATTTGAAGGCAAACGCGGGATGCTGCAACGCAAGCAGCAGCGACCTGAGAGGGTCTAAAATTCAGGAAGGCGTGATCTACAAAAAGAAAAAAAATCTTATTGTTCAGTCTTTACTAGCTGGAAGTCTCAGTTATTTACATCCTTTCCTCTGAAACTCACCCTGCAGTGAAACCTCCAGGAAGTAGTGAGTGTATTTGTCCATAAAAGCCTTAGTCTTGGACAGGGAGGACAGCGGCCAGCCGTTGTAGAGGTCGCCCTCCTGCACAGCGGCATGGAGGTAGTAGTCGATAAAGTGGGCAGGTGTGGGCAAACACAGGTTCCAGCCGAAGGTCTCCAGCAGCAGGAGCTCCATTTTGATCAGATCCTTCTTGTTAAGAACCAGGTTCAGGCTGCACATGAAGCCGAGAGAGTTCAGCTGCTCTAGTTTAGGGACCCGGTCTTCCTTCTCCTCAAACTTACCTAGAAAAAAAAAAAAAAAAAAGAAAAAGTCAAGATAAACACAAAAGTATGTAATTTAACAACAGGTAGTTCATCTCATTAAATGCCATGGAGGATTACCGGAAAATAAAAAATTATTATAAACCATAAAATAATTTTATTTATATATATGTATATATATATATATATATATATATATATATATATATATATATATATATATATATAAATAAACAAACATACACACATATATACACATATATAGATGTTATGCTTGCATCCCCCCATTAAAAAACATTTTAAATTCACACAGGTAATAATAAATACAAGTTTACTGAATGATAATTTAGTCAAATAAAATATTGTGTTTGAATTTCTATTTAAAAAAATATTCTACAAAAAGTAAAAAAAAAAAAAAAAAAAAACGTCCCTGACAAATGTAAGTACCTTGCTCATTAACAGTGAACAAACATATCTGTCAACAGGTGCAGTTGTCCTACTGAACATTGAACACAGTTTAGGTTAGGACTAGCTTTAGGTATGAAGCCATAATGGTCAGGTTTAGGGTCAGGGTTAGGCTGTAAAACTTGCCAACAAATGAATGGAAGTCAATGGAAAGTCCCCAATGGAATACTGAAACCAGGCGTAAGGGTGGGTGTGTGGATTGTGTTCATGTTTTTTTTAATAACTATATTTTCTTTTTTTCTAAATTCAGTTTTTTTAATTTATTATTACTAATGGCTAACCTAATTTTTTGAAAATTGCATGATATCAACATGGTAAAAGGTGATGTTAATATTCTTACAATGCCAACTAGGCTCTCTTTGAGGTTGAGTTTCTTAGAGAACAGCAGCTATGCCAACTACACTAAGAGTTTATCTGATTTGCATGCAAATATTTCATTTTAAAATATTTTACAGTATTAATAACACACACTGTTAGTGAGAGTACTATATAGCTGCATCAATTTTTGCAGCAATAATCACTATAATAGCATAAAAATTGATGAAGGATTGAAAACAGTGATACTGTTAGATTAAAAATAAGGACCTAAGCTTTCAACTCCTAAAAAACATCCAACAGAGTAAATGACTTAGAGAACCTGGTTATATCCAGGAAGTAGAGCTAAAATTTCATCCAGAAACTCACAGTCAAGAACTATGTAGCTGTGATTAGCTCCCTCTCAATTTTAAGAGCTACTTTTTTTCCATAGCAACAGCCCCGGGGCCTCAGGGGTCCATGTGGCCAATGAAGAGGGTTGTTCCTGCCTTTAATCCAAGGCTCCAAGAGGCCGCCTCTCCAAAAATTAGGAATGAGGGCGAGGAGGGTGTCAGGTTACTCTGATACAGCCACACATTAAAACTAGACACAGCTTCCAGAGAGGACTTTAAATTAGACTTAGGAGCTCCTTAAATATAAAGGCTTAATCAGTGCTGGTATGAGGGAAATATAGAATAAATCAGTAGTACATAAACTTTTCTAAATTTTAAAATTAAAAACAACACTAACTGTTCCAGAAAGCATTTTAAAAAGAGATTTCCAAGTTCTGACCAACACTGTTTAGGTTGCTGCTGATTACAACAGCAGATTTATGCATCTGCCACACTCAATGAAACAAGCTGCTTATGCACCACTGCAGGGACATATCAGAGAGAGACTGTTTAAGACGCCCTCTAAGGATAAAAATGTCACGTTTCAAGCTGAGAACAACAAAAAGCCTCAGTGGAGTTAATCTTCTGATCTAAAACCATGGCAACCAAACATTAAAGATAGGAGTGTTTATTGGCATTACTGAGTTAGAGTCAAAGGAAACACTCTGAGCCGTTGCCTGACATACTGAAGAACCCATTGATCCCTTTATCCCCACGTCTAGAGGAGCATCTTGCTGCCCGGCGTAAGTTTTATCACCAGTGTTGTGACCTATCATTAAACAGGGCAGGAGGCTAGGACGTGTAGAAGGCAGGGAGCTGCAGCCCGAAGAGCAGGGAGGTGGGAGTAATGTGTAATTAGTGTTTCTACTGCAGAACAGGAAGCACAATAAGAAACACAGCCGTTTACAGCCACCATGACTCGTTCCACGTCTCACTGCACACTTGCTACATTCTCTCACCCTTGTATCCTCAAGATCAGTGCTATGCATGCCGCTAGATGTCCACAAAAACAGCCATAAAAAGCCATCCCCCCAGAAACAACCCATAGAGCCAGGGTCTTTGAAGTTGAGACATAATCCAACCAGTTCCCTTCAGTGTTCGCCACAGTTGTGGATGAGCCACCAACAGAATTACTGATGAGAACGCATCTTAAAAAAAGAAGGCGAAAAAGCAAATGATTTCAGCTGGCTGCAAAAGAACGACAGCTGAGTATATAACAACCTCTGCCAGAGAACAGAGGTCACCCGCTGGAGATTCGGTGTAAGGGAAAGTTGCGAAGTTTGCAACATGAGAACAAAAATACCATAACCTGCTTTTAACTTGAATATGTGTTTAATAAACAGGATATCTAAAATCCACAAACCTTCTAATGTCAGTTTTTATTTTCTTGCTATCAGATAAAAAGTCTCGGTACAATTGAAAACAAACCAACCCAAAACCAAACGATTTAGAGAAGACCATGTTTTATGTGAAAGCTGATTGTTGATGTTTTGAAATCTCACACAGGAAACACTTGGGACCTTGTAGGTGTTCTGTGGAAAAAAGTTTAATTTGCAGTTTTACAACCAACTGCTAAAGCAAACATCCAACTCAGAGATTTCTATCAAATCTAAATGATATTATGCTGCTGGAAATAAACACATTAGAGGCATTTTTTTACCAAACCTTTCTACTTTGAAATCATAATTTTTTTTAAGCATTTTAAAGCAGCTTTATCTTGTTGGGGACCCTCGGAAACAGGCTGCGTGTAATCAGGAAAGACCCTCAGAGTAAAAAACAAAACATTAGTAACACTCAGTGCTTAATCTTGCTGTGAGGTGACAGTGCTAACATCCAAACCACCATGAAACCATCTGTAAATGTTACTATTTTAATTTAATAATAACAATAATTGAACTTTATAATAAGAGTTTAACTTTACTGATCTCACACTGGAGATATTCACCATCTGCATTTAAACCTGGGGAACATTCAAACTAAATTTTACAAACAGAGATAAATCTATTGTTTTATTTAAATACAGGCTAAATAGACACAGGTTAGATTTAACCTCAGTAAAGAGTCATGCCTTTTATATTAACCATTACAAGATCTATCAAACTGGACTTTGTGCATGTACTTGATCCTCTGTTGCTCTTTTACACCAAACCTAAACCACAAGAGCTCCTATCAGTTTTGTCTTGGCTGAGCTAGATGGTGCATTCCTCTCTTCTGAGTTCAGCTCACCTGGAAAAAAAAGAAGCAAACTGATCCTATCTCATCTCAGCAAGCAAGAAGAGACAGATGAGTAGTGCAAAGGGAAAAAGCAAGCTTCGTTTTTTATCTCCAGAAGCTGCCCCTCCATACGCAGCCAACACAAGCAATCTATCATTTCTCACAGCAGCTACAGATGATGGGGATGGCGAGTCAACAGACAGAGCTAAGAGGTCAAGGGTTAGCAAGAGGTGAGACCAGGATGCAGAGGCTTGTCCCAGGTGTGCTGTTTGGGAAAAGGGTCAAGGTGGAAATAGGCTGGAACTGATAAGGGTTTGATGGTAAAACTGAGGAACGTATTCTCAGACAGCGGAGATTCTGTGATACAAAATAATCAACTCAAAGTGTTTATATATCAGGATAGTCGGGAAAACCCGGTTCATCAATTGGTGAAAATGTTCTGTCCTTTATTTGGTTTTATTTAATATCACATGAACAAAACTACATGAAAAATCTTTACACTGTTAGAGCAACTCCTTGTTCGTGACTGAACTGATGGAAACAAGCAGACGTTTGAGGTAGGCATGTAGAGGAAGAAGAAAACCACCCTGCTTAGCAAGCTTGTTTACAACCAAAACAAGCCATGACGCAACAGCACATTAATGCCGTCTTGAGGTCTCCAGCTCTACTTTCATGTTCTAAAATACTTGCTTTTTTTTTTTTTACAAAAAAACCCAATAAGAGATGGCCAGCATGTTACTCTGCACACTGGATATTTGCAGCTGGTTCGCTTCCTCTTCTTGGTTTGCATTCCAGCAGCAAGTGAACTGCAGCTGAGTTGATTTGCAAGCTAGCTCTCACTAAACAAAACAAACAATTCAAGAAAACAAACTCTGGTCCGTTTAAATTCAACCAAATAGCTCATGTGCGAAAGTGTCCAGGCTTAAAAAATACATCAAATAAATATTTCCTGAGCGTCTAAGATAAAACTAATGGTAAATATAACATCTTTAAGCTTATTATATATAAAAGAAGATAGTCAGGGAACTATTAAGTCATTTACCTTTTGTTTTTTTATGGGGCATAAAGGTACTAAATGGGAAAAACTTAAACACAGCATCAATTTTTATTTCATTACAAAATTTAGAGATAAGTTGAAACATTAATATAGCTAGAATGTTTAATCTATTTCCTATCATTTATTTACTTTTTTGCAAATGCAGAGGTTGACGTTAACTTCCTAAAGTATTCTTAATTATTCCATCTGTTTGTTTTCTATTTTTTTATTTGAACTGACGGCCATGAAGAGACTTCTTCTCCTGATCCATCCTTTATGTGTCACTGGGAGCAAGAAGTTGGTCACAGCTCCATCACTTAATCTCTGTGTTGCTGCCCCAGGACCCAGGGACTCTGACAATGTAGTCTCAAGCTAACCTCTGACCCAAAAATCTGAATGCTTGGGTGAACATAGAGAATTGCAGAAACCCTGTTCTATGCATATGCGTGTCAAGAGTTTTGGGTGGGATTCAATGAGACGCAAGCACCCGATTCTCATTTGGCAGAGGCATTTAGTTTTCTGCTTTCCTTCAGTGTTTACCTTTAAAACTAGTCTGTATTTCATTCAAGGGTTTCTTAAATGCAAGAGACCTGCATGTGATTGGTTTGACTTTGAGAAAGGAATGAGGAAAGAAGTGATATCCCTGTTATTCTGCATTTCAGGGCACCCTGTTGGGTGGTGAAGTTCTAACATGTTTCACCACCTCTCCCACCCCCTCTGCCTCAATTCACCCTGTTTAACATCAGCAGCCAAACTAGCTTTGAAGTGCTGCTCTGTTCACTTCCTAGCCCCCGGGGAATGTGGGGTTGGTTTTACAGAGAGTTCTGTCCCGGGACAACTCTGTGCCCAACCCTGACAAGGTGAGAGAAGCATGGATGAAATGGTGCAGGCAGCAGAAAACGAAAATGCAACTGGAAGCCTGGCTTTAAAAAGCCATTTGTTTGTTTGTTTGTTTTTCGTGTTGGTATATATATATATATATATATATATATATATATATATATATATATATATATATATATATACCATTAGAAAGAAAATAATTTAGTTGTCATGGTGACCACATCCTCCTGGTTGCTTGTCTTATGGTAAACCCTGCTCCATGCAGACATACACAATAACCTCCACTCCTCAGAGTGTGCTCCCCTTCCCCCCTCTCTGGGAAGGGGCTGGCCGGCCTGCTTGCATTGACTGGCTTTTGTTTGAGGTCTGACTCGGAGAGCATATGGCAGGTGCCCCTCAGCACACAGCTCGTCCCCACCCCCGGGCTCCGACATCCGTGTATGTGCACCCTGTGGTCAACATGGCTGTGCCTCATGTGCTCAGTGGTTTCAGCAGGCTGTTCTTTATTGTTCTTGTTGTTGTTTTTCTAATACAAGCTTTTTACATCAAGCTGATCTATTTTTTTTTTTTACTAAAAAAATAACATTCAGCGATAAATCCAGACAAGAGCATTAATCCAGAATAAGCAGAAAAGAACAAAAACAAGCTTAAATAGAAAATACAATAACATTTTTGTTCTGGCTGACAAACACAGTAATGATGTCATCTATACAGACAAACAGCTGCAGGATGCAAAGCTCTGACTTTGTGGACTTAAACTGGGCAGGAAGACTGATGTGATCACTGCAGGACTTCATGGAATGTAACACAAAGGAAACTTCGTGGTTCTGGGATGATGGATTCTGCCCAGAGTGGCCCTTTTTTTGTTGGGGGGTTAAAAGCGCTCTCAAAGCTAGGCAGTATCTCTAAATAAATGGCCTGCAGTAAATAACAATTGGTCCTAAAAGGTTTTTAAAAAATCCGACTATAATCTCTGTCCTGTAAAAGGAAGAGGAACTCATCTGTTGCTAACACACAAACCCACACACACATTAGTGCCCACAAAAAACACACACACAATAGAGTAACAGGATTAGCCAGTGACTGCTGAGAGGCACAAAGAGGGTACAGATTAATTAAACAAGTGCAGAAGGCAGGAAAGTTAAAAGAAAGACAATAGTGTTTCAGAGGGGAGCAGTGAGACCCAGGCAGGTTGTTCAATAACTAGGCCAGATTCCAAAGCACCTCAAGACAGATGAAAACCTAAGTCAACTGTGAATCAAGGGGTCTTTCAAGCCTTCATCAATCATGACAGAGATTCCCCCGAGTGCTGGAGGAGCAAAGGAGAACAGAGAGCCATAGCAAATGAAAGCTACGATTAGAAGATTCAATACAAAGTCTAATTAATGTGTTAGAGATTCATTAAACAAAACTCCACTCAGGTCTGGACAAAAAAACTCAACTAAAATGACTCTAAAATCTATTTTATAATCTCTAGAAATTATTTTATCATCTCAACATGGTGACTTCTGATTGAAGATAGTCTGTTTCAACTCACATGTTCCCCCTCTCACACACACACATACTCCCAAGTGAACATGCTCTCTTCCAGACTCCCATTCTGACAGCATCATTAGTCTAATTATCCATGATGCCAAGGGCTGCATTAATGCATGAAAAAAGCTCACAGTCTGCTAATCACCAGACAGACATTGAGACAGTAATAACCACCAAGCAACCTGCACTGTGCATCAGCAGGATATGAATGATTAACGCACCTGCTTCAACACAAAGCTAAAAAAAATACCAAGATTTCACAGCAAAAGAGGAAAAATTGAAAGCACAAAAAATAGCTGGAAAAAGATTTATCGAGAAGAGAGAAAAAAGAAAAACATAACTAATTGTAAGCAAACTATGATTTAAAAGAGGAACTTTCTGTTAGAACACCAATATATATTCAGTTCTAAGACCAAAATCTCCTTTAAAGCCTTTTTTTCCTCTTCATCTTCAGCAGGTTTTACTCTCAGCTACAAAGGAAATCATAAAAGATAAAGATGATGAAGATAAAGATCCTACATCAAAACTGCCCTGTTCATCATTTTTAGGAGAAAAATTATGTTTTTTAAAGAACATAAAGCAATTGTAAATGGTGAAAATCTCCCAGTTATGGGATGCTGACAAACTCTACAAGGCATACACACTATAGACACTATAGACAAAAGGTAATACTAGCTTTGCTCAACATGCAAACTGCTACTAATTAAAATGCCCATCCAATCTATAAAGATTTCTGCTTCAATAGTAAAACCCTGCTTTACTAAAATCTGCGCAAAAGACTAATTTCGGGCACATATATCAAATATTATCACCTCTTATCCTAATATAAACAACAAGTCAATTCTTTATAAACAAGAGAAAAGTTTCTCCTCATAATACCTTTCATAGATTCTAAATATATTTAATGCTTTGATACATACATAAACCAAAAAATCTCAGTGGTCCATCTCTAACCGCCCAACCCCCACACAAGAAAAAAAAATACTAATTCAAATGCACATTCTTAAAGTTGTCAAACTTGCTTCAATCACATTGAACTGTTTTTATTTCTAACACATTTAACTGTTAATGTTAAATGAGTGTTAAATGTGTTACTCTCACTTTCTGTGAGAGTGAAGTCTGAGGGTCTCTACTGCGATGCTTAAATTAGCCTTTTTTTCAGGAAATGCTTCACCTTTAGCAGAAACCACAGAAGCTTTAGGCTGAGAGATCCAGCTGAAGCGGCTGTTTACATCCAGATGAAATAACATACCATTTTCAAAATAAAACTAACTATTGTAAGGCAACGAAAGACAAAATTCTCAATATTCCTTCCAACAAAGGAAGCTATTTAAAACTAATAAGTTTTTTTAAAACAGTTCCTGAACTTACTGGCTAGCAGCAAACAGGAGAGGGCGATGATGTAGAGCTGTTTCACAGCAACATCATAATGGTCCATGAACAGGTCGAGCAGATAGACGGCCAGGTGACGTGCAGTGGGACACAGCTGGTATCGGTTGCTTAAGATGGCCAGCAAGTCTGCAAAGTAGCGCCGCATTCCAATCTGAGGAGAGTGGGCCCGGTAGATAGGCAGCTTCAGCTCCTGGGAAGGGGAAAAGAAAGATGAGACATGTTAAAAAAACAACAGGGGGTGATAGGAGCAGGGTGGGCAGGAAGTTGGGATGATATTGGTATGCATGATAATAGTGATCTTTTCACATCTCCCATTGACTGAGTTTAAGTATGCTGAAAACATTCATAAAGAGAGATAGTTTCAACATTAGAAAGAAATGATTCAGCCTTGCTGAATTTGAAACTGCTACAGAAAGCTGAAGCTAATTTGGATCATTGAAGGCAGCTTTGAACAATGGGTTAGGGTTTGTGAGCGTGTAGCCTGGGGAGGGAGGGACTTCCTCTGCCAGAGTTCAGCAGCAGATAGGATTAGGTTTCACCCCTAACACATCTCCTATTCATGTTCAATTAGCTGCATGTGTTTCAAAGTGGAAAGAAGACACTCTTGGGCATTAGCATTAGATCAGCCTAGGGTTTCTTTCTGAATCACCTTCAACTAAGCTAGAAAGAAAAAATTTTTTGCCTGAGACTCCAAAAACCTTTAAAATGGCACATGGGCATTTATAGAGCAGCCAAAAACGCTTAAGCTGGGTTAAGGACAGGTTATACTCCCTGCAGATACGGCCGAGGCGGTGAGGAAGCGGGGGCAAGTTTGTGCGACAACGGAGGGACATGAGGGCGAAAAAGAGCAGGGATCCAGGTGGAAAAAGGCTCCCAGCGTTTTCACGCACCTCGCTCTTCAAGCTGGTCAAACTTCACGAGTTGTTTTCCGCAATTGCGGTCATACAAACAAAACAAGCGGACCTCCTGTCTGCGGTCACCTACAATTTGGGAAAGGTGCAGCAGAGTGTCTGCGGAGGGGGCGCAGACGTCTTTATTCACTGCGACACCTAGGCAGACGGCCTAGTTTCAAAGTATAAATCAGCCTTTACCTTTTACAATGCTGAAAACCTTTTAAATAAGAGTTAACAAACAATAATATAGGTTTGATTAGAGAATGCCATCAGGTAGATCAATGTGTACACAATCAGGAAAGTATATACTTCTATGTGCATTGCCTGACTAAAGCAAAATTTCAAAGAAGTGGCATAATTTCCTATCATTTCTACAGTGAGTTCTGCTGGTTGGAAAGACTCTTGCTCATTAAACAGCTGGTATATTGTTCTATATCAAAAATATCTGCTAGCTGGAGAGTAGCCAAGTTTTAAGATAAGCTCTCAGGAAAACATGTTTACAGTCAATAGCATTTGCAGTGAGGGCAAAACTGCTAACACAGTCAAGTTTCAAACTGTTTTTTTTTTGGGCACACCTACCCCCCCAAAAAAAGAACAGGGCAATGCTCCGACTGACACTTCAATGGAATCCAAAAATAAACAGTGCCCCCCCTCCCTGCATCAATCTATAGCAGCAGCACCACCCCCAGAGCCTCTAACTCCCATATCAACTGATCCTCCCAAAATTCTCCTCCCCTCCCACTGCCTCTGGTCCATCTGTCTGTCTAGAGGTGCAAGGGCAGCAGGAGGAAGGGAGGGGGGATGAAGGAGGGGATGGTTGAAGGGAGGAGGCTGCTGCAGTCTGGAGGGCTTGGGAGGTGGTGGTGGGGTCTGCATGGAGCAGAGAAGTGCCTTTGTGGGGGGAACCGCACCGTAATTAAGGATTCCACAGCTGCCTGCTGATTTGCATGTCTGATAATTTGCCACATGCTACACAGCCCTGCTATCTCCCACATCAGGGCATTATCACTGCAGCAAACGTCATTAGGGCTGGATGAGACGTTGGGGGTGCGGGCGCCATGCAGGAGATCTGAACGCTGTGTGAGGCTCTGATAATGATTCCACCATTTTTTAATACTACACTGTAGTTTTTTTTTTTTATGGGGTGAGGGTTAAGTAAATATCTAACAATTAGGAGAATATCTAACAATCTCTGCTGATCAAGACAGTTTGTTTATGTTCGCCTTTAAATTTTTAAACACTCTGATATGTTGCAGCATTTATATCAAGAGCATCAGCGATTTTATTGACTCTAAGTTAAGCATAAGTTTGGTCATAAGTGAGCTTGTTTTGCAGTAAATTCCTAAAACCTTAAAATGTGACCCAGTTTAAATCTGTCTTAGCCATTTGGTAACTTGGATTTTTCTTTAATAATCTTAGATTCCTCATACTTGTGTGTTCTCTTTAAAGCTAGCCATTTTTTTTTTGGTTTAATACTAACTGGACATAACCTTTAACAAAAGCTTTTTTCTGGCTATACAGAGAACCCTTTAATGTCATCCTATTTTCTTCCCTTTAAACATGATTTGTAATGGCTTCAGAAGGTTCAACAGGTTATAACACATGATAGCTTATCAGATTTCCTGAAATGCATTTCAAGACAAATGCAATCACTGCTAAGGTATATTTTTTTTAAAACAAGAAAACAAAAAAATGCACGAGAGAAAAGGGGAAATTATACAGAATCATCATTTATGAATCATATAGTGCAAAACAGAGTGGTATTCTGTACCTGGAAAAACCCTCTACAGAGCATCCTCACTGCTGACTCAGTTGAACACACCGCGATTTAAACAGGAGGACACAATAAAGTGATTTTCTTATATGAGTCATGCTAAGTGTGTTCTTCCGTGTTCAACAAAGGTATTGTACTACAAGGTACACCATAATAAACTGGGACTGTTGGTTAAGATGCAGTGGGAAACACAGATGTAGGGCGACCAAACCCCAGCATTAGGCTGACAGTAACGCTCTCTGATTATAGTAAATGGAAAGAAAATGTGGGTGTTCTGTCAGTTTCCGCCTCCATGCAGATTTTCTTTCCCTTTTTCTGAGTCAGACAATGTCCAGCGTGAGAAATCTGAATCCAAATGACTGAAAAACATCTGGTTAGAACTCCTAAATGCCACAACCATCACTCTTCTCAAGATGAAAAACAATTTATAGACACCTGATATTCACATCCCATAGGGCCTTTCGCTCCACAGGGGTCATCTGTTGAAAATGCCAGTCAAGTTTTTAAATGTCTCAATTAGGGTGAAACACTGAAAGGCACGATCACGCCGTGGGAATAATTAACACATTTCTAATTACTAAATCTAGTAATAGAGTTATATCTAAATTAAGATTAAAAAGGAAACAGAGCATGAATGTTTTACTTTCCTCTCTCTGATAAGACATTTTATATTTGTTTTTAAAAAGCTACAAATACAGTGTTTGCCAGGGAGAAAAAAAAAGTGTTTTTTACTAAGCATCAACACCAAACAAACAGCTTTACCAACATTAGGGATGATACCCTTAATTGTTTGGTAACAATATTACTGGCTGAGTCATTCTCTGTCAAAACCAGCTTTAAATATGCTACAGTGGCTGCTTTTCAAGACTCAATTAAATGCAAATATTATAAAAAATATTTCATAATACTTTTTTCAGGGACTTATTCTTATATAAAACAATTTTTGATTTACACAAATATGAGTTTTTTAAATAATATAATATTCTGTCTATTTAGGATTTTTAAACACATTTTATGATGACAATCAACCAATCTGATATGTGAACAGACACTTAATTAGCCCACATACAGTGCATTGGAATAAAAGAAAATGTAACCTTCCTTATTAAGATTAAACTACAATGCTACATGTGAAAAATAATGTAGAACAATTCATGCTTCAATACAGAATATTCTCCCTGGCTCTTTAATTGGAGAAAATATAAATGTATGATTATAAAGAGGTCAATTAACTTTATTTAATTCTAATCCCTAAAAAGAGTGAAACAATCATTGAATACTTTTTGTTGCAATTTTCACTACATCCATACAATTTTTTATTAAGCTGTTTACAACTTATGTGTCACAAATTTTCCCGTGTTTAATTGTAAACTTCTTTGTGCAATCGGTCGGCTAAATACTAAAACTGAAAGAGTGTTCTCATTTTCACCTACACACATGATACTGGTGTCACTTTAAAAGAAACTCTTCCTCTTTCAGGTATTTATTTTCCCCAATGAGTTGTTTGAAAATGTTTCTAACATACATACAGTCATTTTTTGTCTAAACTTTTCATTTTAAAATATCAAAACAATAGAAAAAAACAAGTTAACATATTTGGATGAAAAGTTCCTGTAAAACTAGGCTGACTTAGACGTGTAACAAAAAAATAACCTCCTTGTTCCAAACTAAAAGGCAGTAATTATATCTCTGTCACTATCAAGGAGTCTGTGGCTGTCTTTGTTCCGGTTATTAAATTTGCATGTGTACCACTGGCTGTGCTAATCCATTAAAAACTACTTATTTTTTAAATGCATGGTGCAATTCTGAAAATCCCACTTCACTTAATTCCAACATGAGAAAAAACTAACAAAAAAAAAAAAAACAGCATACATGTCAAATGAACAGAGTCACAGGTGAGGTTTTCAGCCTTTATCATCAAATATCAAAATCCTTCATTTTGAACAACTTGCAGAGCTTTTAGCCGTATTTTAGAACTCAACCATGGGATTTACACTAGCAATGGATTTAAACAGATTACCTTTTTGTTTCCGCCAACAATGGGCTACATTACCATTATTATGGTTAAAAATCATCTTCATTTTGCCTAATTAAGAACTGTTACAAGTCAATTAAAATTAACACAATAATTCAAAGCTGATTTTATTTTAATGGTAAAATCTAAATGACTATTAGTCCATCTAATATTAATGATGAGTATTCAGGAATTTTCTTACGCTTTAAAGTAAATCTATCCACATTAATAACAGCAGCAGACTCCAATAAAATAATTTACTTCAATTTCAAACTACACATGTGATCATATTGTCATTTGGAAGTCTTTAAATGCTGTTTACATTCAATTAAAGATAAAAGCAATGTATTAATTAATAGGAGGCTAACTCACCTTGTTGCGTAAGGACTGATGGATGTCTGAAGCCAGCTGTCCTTTCCACCACTGCAGCTCCCTCTCCATCCTTCCCATTCAGGGGAGGCGACCACAATCAAGTTTAACCTGCTGAGATGGATGCATCCCAAACGGGACAAAGATAAGATACCTCAAAGTGCAGGAAACAAGGCAAAAAGTGATTAAAGCTGCGATATTTACAGCTTTAATGCAGCTTTACAGGCAACATCCTTGAGATAAGCACTAGAATTTATGTTTTTTCTGTAAATCTTTTAATTACAGAAAAATATAATGCTAAAACTAAATTAATATATATTTAAAGTATATATATATATTTTTTAAATAAACCAACCAGAACAATGTTGGTGCTAATTAAACAGCAGTACTCTGCTAACACAGGCCATCTTCTCTGCGAGGATATTTAAATGGCTCATTTAAATGTCCGCTCGGCCACGCTGCGGGTCACATTGTTTCTATAAAGCGTTTAACATATCTTCCATTTAAAAGCTATCAATTAAATCAGAAAAATAAATAAAATAAAACACAGAATTTAATTCGTAAATAGAATATTACCACGGCGTGAGACCGAGATGCCGTCCCATCGTGCTCTAATTTTCTTCACAGGTTTAAAACAAAGAAAAACATTCCAGTAACACCAAAAACTGCAGCTTTATTTCAACAATAATGCCGGCTTTCTTTCAAAGTAAAACTTTTCACAGCAGTAGTTAATACATGTGGCTCTCACCGTTCCGTCGGGAATGCCCCCCAGACCCTCTTTGTCTCAGTCCGACATCCTGAATGAGAGAACTCCTCCGCGGCTCAACTTTTAAACAGACCTCTCTCTGACGCCGAAAACACAAAACTTCACGTCCGATGGGGAGCTCATCAGACAGCCACCAATAAGAAAATTCCACCGAAGGCTCTTCGGTTCAACCTGTTTTCCCCAAACAGTTCACACTTTTTTTCCTGCCACAATGTGCGCCGCCGTTTTCTCTCCGGTGGCTCGGCTTTGACAAAGTAGCCTCTTCGGCTGCGCCAGCTGCTGCTGCTGGGCTCGTGCGCCGCACGTTAGGTTCCTCCTACTATAACATGGGATTTGTAGTCTTTTAACCAGGTCTCTATAAAAACTACAACTATCTAATATAGGTTGCTAAAATCCAATATAGGCGGTAGAATACAAATGTAAATATGTAGTAACCTTAGAAAAAATTGAAAAATAAAAAAATAAAAATGTATTTAGATATATAAACATAGCAAATTAATAATAAAATCCTTAAACCATTATTTTAATATTTATTTAATTCATGCTTCCAACTCTACAGGAAGGAGGCTCAAAAAGTGTCGCAATTCAATAGACATATAGAAATGAAAATGTCTACATGTTATAAATCTACAAGCATAAGAATCTGTTTTATTATATGAAATGTATATTTAAATTATATTTTTTACATACTTATTTTATAGTTTTAGATTAAGAGTCAACCACAAAATAATAATTAGGTATTTTAAATTATAAGGATTTTTTTGATTGAATTAATGAAAAATAAATACATATTTAATTAATGATATGTTATAAAAAAAACAACAACTTTTCATTCATTTTAAATAGAACTATTTAATGGTATGTTAAATTGAAGTTGCCATAATTTCCCCAAAGTTGAGGGTTTTGTGTGTAGGGCTAATATTGTCATACAGCAACAGTAAAAATAAAGCAAAAACAAATATTTATGATTATATTTTAATTAATTTATATGTTTATTTATATTTATTATTTACAAAATTGTAAAGTAAAAATGAAAATTGTGAAATTCCACGTTTCCTTTCTAACTTTGAATGTTAATTTCTCCTACATTGTAATACAAATCTAAAACTAACCAAATTGTAAATCAGATCATAGGATAAATGTATTGAGAAGGTAAAAAAAAAACATTTGAAGGATGCATAAATGTTAGTTTACATTACTTATTTCTAGGGCTGTCCCAATCCGATACTAATATCAGAATTGGTCTGATATCATATATTGGAATATACCTGTGTCTAATTTCTGAGATTAGAAAGCTCATAGAAACACTTTGCTTCAATCTGCCTTTGTTTAAGGTTCATGCAGCTCTTTGGTGAATAAGAAATAAAGCGCATGATGTTGTTGACTTCTGTTCTCTATCTGAGAAATATCACTCAATCATGCCTTTCTATCATTCCACCCTATAAAATAAGCAAAAACAGTATGTATGATTCATTTATGCTCATGGCACTTATACTTATATTGTATTGGGTCAATATAGGTATATTCAAAGTTCAATTTCTGTATTGGGAAACCCTTATTTAGTTTTAAATAATAATTTGCATATTTTCGGGTCTACTTCTGCTTTCTTTCACTTCATTTGAATTATATCTAAATACTTCAGACTGGAATAAACTCATCCTGAATTGAATGTCAATTTCCATCAATAATGCTTTTTAATATCTTCTCTTTTCTGTTGCTCTCTGACTTTGACATTAAGCAACCAAGTGGTCCCATTAACATAATTGCTTCTAAAGCTAATTTTAAGCTATGCTTTGATCATACTTTTACTTTCTGATCACATGTTAAGAAAAAAGACAAGCTAAAATTTCACAGTCTTTTGTTTAGATTTACCTTTTTGGTCAAGGGTCCAAAGCTGATGTGGAAAAGAATAACAGAACAAGGAAAATTTATTAGATCTAATATGTAAAATGTCCTTTTTAATTAATTTATTGCTTTTTATAAACATTTTTACTACTTAAATTATTTAAAAATGTATTCAACATGTTTGGAGTTCTTACCATTCTTTGAATCATAAATTTGACTGAAGCCACATATTGTTTGCATTTCCTCCTCATTTTTGGATTAATTAATGAAATTATTTACAATCACCTCCATGAGAGTAGTCTTTGAAAGGGGAAAAACGTTTTCTAAAAGTTGTCTCTATATCAGGGAAATGAAAGGGATCATTGCAAGCATCAAATCCTTTTGTTTTTTGTCCTTCTGATTTTCAGCAGTTTCTTTACTTGTTACACCCCCTGGTGGCAGGATATTTTTTTTAAAACTGCTGGAAGAATTGTGAAGCATCTTATTTCTTCCCTATAATAAATCAGACAATAAAACTGGAGTATTTAGGTCTAGCGCGTCAACTATCATCCTGAGAATTTGCCTTGTTATCCGCCTCATTGAGAAACTCCTGATCAGCGTAAATGAGAAACCCTGTGAAGGTGCTGTCTGTCCAGAAAGGGTCAAAGAAGAGTCCATTCTGCTCTGAGTAGAAGATCTGCAGCCACACCTGATCTGACTCTTTGAGGTGGAGTATAGTAGAGCCGGATGCCACATCATGGTTCCCTGTGTTGGCATCAAATGTCTTGATCTTGTACTGACCATTATGCACCAGTCCAATTGCCAGGTGTTTATTGGCCAGTGTTATATCATAGGTGAAATAATAGACCCCGGGGATCTCACAGACAAACTTCCCGCTGGTGGAATTATAATGATTCCCTTCATTTAGAAGGATCCGGCTAAAACGGATTGGCATTCGTTCTTTTGGATAACTCTTTGTCACCGCCACAGAGAAGGCCGATCGAGCCACAGTGCCACAGTTGCAGCCACCAGGGGCTCCTTGTTGGCCGCTGTCTCCCATTTCTCCTTTTTTTCCTTCTTTTCCTGCCACACCTGGTGGTCCACGTTGGCCCCTCAGTCCCCGGGGTCCTGCCTTGCCAATAACGCCTTCACGGCCTTTCACACCTGGCTTGCCAGGGTTCCCGGTTCTTCCTGGATCCCCTGAGGGAAGACACAATATAACTTGTTAACAACTCAACACATGGTGGTCTTAGACTGGAAACAGATGCAAACTTGGAGTTAAAGGCAAAGAATTAGGGTCCTTCTGAATTCTGTTTTAGATTTGATTTGGTTTTTCAATACATTGTGAACAGCCACACACTATAGCATTAATTATTGGGATTTTTGTGAAAGATAAACACTATCAGTGACTGTTATAAAATATCTAGTATTAGTCTGTATTTTATCAAACCCTATTAAACTGCATGCTAATTATTAAGCCAAAACTAGCATAGAGTAAAAGAAACATATTTTTGAATACTCAGATTAACGCTGAAAGTTGGGTAAAGCTGCAGTGAGTTACCTCCATCTCCTTTCTGTCCCTTTTCTCCATCTTTTCCGTCTGGACCATCCAACCCTGGTGGACCCATAGGGCCTATGGACCCTGGGGGTCCAGGAGCTCCTGGCAGTCCTGGTGGTCCTGCCGGGCCAGGCAGACTGCAAACCAGCTGAGAGGAATGGATGGTGTAATTACGACCTTTCTTTGATGAGGAATTTGTTGTCTGGGTGATGGCAGCAGGCAGCAAACAGACGATCATGCACATCTGGAGCACTGCAGCCACTGCAGAGGCACAAGATGAGGGACAGAACCTATTAAAGGCCCTCTATTTGACTCGCTTTTTCATGCAAGGAGGAAAACATGGAATTAACAAGATGTTCTATGAACAGAATGTACAGAGTCTATGCAAGTGCCACTGTTAAAAACAGGAAAGCATTCATTTTAAAGTTGTGGTTACTTTTAACGTTTTACTCAGTCCTTTGAAGAAGCTATAAGTCTATTTTTTAAAGGCTGAGTAGGAGCCAGTTGCTCTGTACATGTTTTACAAATGGAACAAGTCTGCAGCTTTAAAAAGATAAAGAATCAACTCACTGGTTGAGAAATGACGTCTCTGGGTCATTTTCCAGCTCTGCTTCTTCTTTTTTATCAGCATTAAGATGCAGCAACTTCTCCTCATGAAGGTTCAGTAAACTGTTTTAATGTTCTTCAAGAGAAGCTCTGCAGAGACCCGCTTGAACCAGGGAACCAGAGTCCAAAACATCCGCCCTGTTTATGCAACAGCTGGGCCCAAAGAATATTTCCTGCATGATGTCATTAATTTCAAGACAGTTCACAAGGATACCACAGCTGAGGCCATGACAATACTCAGCAACAAACTGTTACTACGAGAAATGAATAAGTAGGTGTGATTCTGCTTGAACAAACTGGTTTGCAGAACAGGATCAAAGGCCGAAAGATTATTAGAAATGTGTTTATGTCATGAAGGAATAAATAGTAAAATAAAATACACAGAGTTTGGGGGAGGAATTGATTTTAGCTCAGCAGATTGTGGTCACTATATGTGCCCGATTTCCTATTAAATTAACAACATGCACAAGGACAGTTTTTCAAAAAACTCTACAGCAGTGGTCTTTAATGTTTTCCAGCCCAAACTGATGGTGAGATGGAGCAGGGACCCCCTAACTATATATATATTGTATGAAACTGTGTTATATCAAACTGTTCCTATAGTCACTCTATTACAGATGGAGTCATGTAACAAAAGTAATTCCTCCCTGGGATTATTAAAGTATTTCTGATTCAGATTCCTTGTTGATGGGACAGGTGTTGTGAATGAAACGGTGCCCAGTTTGAAAGAGCTCCTGTGTGTCACTGAATGTTTGCATTGATGACTGAAAGACATCTTCTGTCTCCATTTATCTGTTGACTACAGTGTGGTGAATTAATTTTAATGTGGATTTAAAGACATTTCAATTAGTGGAAAAAATTACAGGAGGGAAATATAAAAAAAAAAGTCTAATCAACCAAAACTTTCACGACCTCCTATTGAATACCTCTGCTCTCCAGCATTTCCTTTGTTGTAAACTTTTCCCTTGTTGCTGATAGACATCAATTTCCAGATGGACAATAAAAGATCATTCTGTTCAATTATTATATCATCTTTGTCTTTTATTGACATTTCTCTTAATGATAGAGAAATGTCAATAAAAGACACACAGTCATTTATTTTGTTGAATCTGAACTTCTTCAAACCCCTACCAATGGTAAAATTGACTAGAATTTATATTTTTAAACTGTTTGCAATTAAAATAAACAATTAAAATAGCAGAAAAAGTAATTAAATTCATTTGCAAATCAGATGTGATCAAAGAGACAATTAATACAACTGAGGATTGCCAACTCCTTGGAAAATAATAAAGGGATACTTCTTTGCAAGGCCTTTGTCTTTGTTGTTACCTCAAATGTTTGCTTTCCTGCTGTATATATATATGAGGATTTTAGAAATATTTTACTCAAATATGAATTAGGAAAATTCAATTATGTTTCTAAATATGGTTCAGTTCTTTTTTTCGAAAGGTGGTTAGCCACCCTAGGGGAAAAAAGAAACAGATACGATCACTGGCAAAAGCCCTGAATGCTCCTGGCCAGGCCAAATCCCTAAATGAAAAAAGACCCTCAATTTGCCCTGTCTGAAAAGTATTACACCATTAAGGTCCCTCTTCAACCTGAAAAGATCTGTGGAATCTCTGCTCATTTAAATATGACTAAGCTAGCTTCCATTTCCCCTCATCCTGACACTGAACTCCCACACCTAGCCCCTCCCCTTAGGGTCCATTAGGACCAACCATTGTTCTATGGTGACATGTTTAAAAACAAAAGTTGGATAATGTTTGCATATGGGGTGAGTTACACTTTAGGTTTTTAGTACATCGTTTCTTCAGTTGTGCTTAGATTTCATAAAGTGTGGAACAAGTTTTGCATTTTAATGCTTCAAAAGTTAGAACATTTAACTCCAATAAGAACAAAATATTTTTTGTGCTGAACTGCAAAACCTCAACAATCTGCAGCTTTATTTTATTCAACTATGATTAACAAAATGTCAGTTAAATCCCAAATCTATATTTTTAATATTAGAAGTTGTGATGTAGCACGAGATCATATCTAAAAATAAAATTTAACTCAAAACTCTAAAAACAGTTCAAGTGCAGTAGATAAATCCATTTAACGCAGGTTGATGTTTTTTTTATTTTTATTAAAGTTTGACATTTTAGCTGGTTTGTATTATTTTAGAAGTTTTACTTATGCAGAGGTTTCTAAAAAAAAGAAAAACGGTTTAAAGTACTTTTTACATATAGCGCTGTTCAAAATGAAATTTTGATGTAAAGTTCTAGGATGTGTCAAAAAGGAAATACAATAAAAAAAAAGTTTACAGCCATTACTCCTAAACTTTATGCCTCCAAGAAAAGTACAGGAACAGAAGGTGTCAAACACCTGTTCAGCATTAGAGATGGAGTATAGCTGTAACTCTTCTAGAGTCCTTGCAGAACATTAAGGATAATCAGCAGGGATTAAGAGGAGGTCACTGTCCAAGGAAGGAAGCCATGGGATCATCAGGTCGACTGCGTTTCATACGGAAGGCCTCCATCTCCTCTTCAGTCGGTGCCTTAACTTCCTGTAGGCTGTAATATGGCCTCTTCCTCTCATCCATCTGCATCAACGCATCTACATGCTTCACGCGCTTGTCCTCCGCTTCCAGGGCCTGGGTGGTAATATGACGAGCAGAGCTCAGTGAAAATGCAAACGGTAAAATTCTTTCACCAGAAAAAGCTTGTTTACCTTCTTCAGCTTCTCCTTCTTCTTTTCTTCATCCTCCGAGTCGCTGCTGTCTGAGCTGTGCTTCTTGTTCTTTTTATTCTTCTTTTTCTTCTTCTTCTCTTTCATCTTTTCTTGATGCATCTAGAAATTAAAAAAGGGAAACATCAGCATTAGATGGAAACATACAATATAATAAACAAACTCAGATCACTAAGTGCTAAATCTTTTTTTTAGGACCTTACTTCTAGCAAAGTCTTTGGCTGTTCTTCTTCCTGTGGCTCCTGCAGACCCTCTTCAAACGGAGCACACTCACCCGTGTTTTCCTAATTAAGGAGGGAAAAAAAAAAAAGTTACTGTTTGAAACAATACCATAAAATGGGAACGTGGGCCTAAAGAACAGACTGGCTCGGTCCCGTCCAGTAAAACATTCAATACAGGGTTAGATCTCTTTCTATATGAAGTATGGAGACAATCAGCTGCTGGTTTAGCTGACAGGTTAAAAAGGTCCATATTGTTTTAAAGTCGTAGGGAAGCGGCCGTTCCAACCGTTGCATTTCCGAATTCTCCCGAGTGGTGCCCGACTTTACACGAGAGAATAAAGTGAATGTGATTGGACGATTATCAAGGGGGCGGGGTTGTTGTGGCGGAAGGTTCGCAAGCTTTTTGGTTGTGTCCGGTGTTTCAAAAGCATCTTGCTAACCAGTTAGCAACTTAGTGCTAATAGGTTCCCAATGGGAAATTCCATTGGGACCAAGTAGCAGTTAGCAACGACACTGTCAAGGAACGCTATGGACAGCGGAAACATGCAAGAGGAGGAGAGTTTAGTGTCGGAGGTCGTGGACGAGTCTCCTCCGTCATACATTTTTTATTTAGAGGAGGAAAGAGGGGACATAGTTGTTGTGGAAGAGGACGCCAGGGCGGCAGAAGCTTGGTTTGGTGTAGAAGGCTTAAAGCCGTACATGTTTGAGCCATTGCGACGCTGCCAGTTCTGTTAGCTCTACGCCTGCTGAAGACACAGACGTCCATCCCCGTGAACACTGGGACGGAACTTAATGGAAAAGGAAATGATTCTTATTTCTTATTTCAACCGTTGCGTATATTAGCTGCGACAATTGAATCAAGATGCTATGAGCGAAAAAAATGATTGACAGATGACCATTGATATATGATTGGCTGAATTTATGTGTTCAGGCTGACGTAAAACTAACTGGCCTGCATAAATAACGGGGAAAACCCCCCCCAAAGATTTTAAGACAGGATTTTTTTTTTTAAATAGAAATGTTGAAATTTCTGGGACAATATTGTCTGATAAAGAGTACATTTATATACATGTTTAAGCCAGAATGATTTGACATTTAAATATGACTTCCCTACGATACTAGCAGATTTTAGATCATTTAAATTGTTGAATCTCATCTTCCTCTTCAGAACTGCTTCGCTATGGGGTTCAGGTTGGTCAGTTTGCTGACCATGGTTCTGGTACCTTTGGAAATATGTTCACATTAAAACAGGAATTCTTTAATGCTTGGCAGTCCAATCCTCCAATATCTCTTCTGTGGGATTTGCTTCAAACTCCTCTCTAAGCTCTGTTTATGTGCTACATATTGCCAGTGTATTATATTGTCAACAACCCTTTTCTTCTAATCAACATACTTTAATGAGGCAGTCTGACCAGGCAGCTTCAATAGCAATAAGGTTTTTTAGCCCTTCCTCAATGTGTGGAGGAGTTATCTGGACGGATGTTAAGTCTTATACATTAATATCTTTCAAATAAACCTAATAAAGACTTTAACACAAGCTATTACTCTGAAAGTAGTGGGATTGATAGAAAGCGTTTCTCTTTTTTTACTAAATGTAAAAATTTTTGTTGATTACCGTTTTAATTCCTGCTTGTCCTGTGCAGTAACTCTGTTTGACCAATGAGTGGCAGCACTTGTATCCCCAGCAGCCATCCTTCCAGTAGGAGCCCCATATGCACTGCAACAACATAAATCAAACCAATACTAAAAAAACAACAGCGTAAAAAATAAAACAGCAAAGCGTTAAATCAAACAAAAGTTCTATTGCCCCTACGGTGTGGTTGTTGATGAGGACATCCTCCTCGTATTTGGAGCGGGCCACCGCCTTCTCCAGTCCCTTCAGCACAGCGCCGTGACGCGAATACTCCACGTAGTCCTCTGTCTGCGCCAGCAGCAGCTCCCGCGGCGGTGCGTCCAGGTGCTCCTGACCCCCATACTGGTGACGCACAGCGAAGAAGGAGAGTTAATATTAAAATTATAGTGGATGCATTTAAAATCAATTTAAAGTATTCTTTACTTTTATGCTGAATATTTTGTGGATAAGCAGAGAAGACATCCAGTAACAAATGACTCATAAATATTGTGCAACGACCTTGGAATGAGATTCAGTTGAAGACAGAAAATCAGAAAGACATTTTTTAAGAACCTCGACTAACACTTCATAAAGTCT